AAAATATAAGTGTTCCTTGGGGATCTAGTCCTAATATATTTTTTATACTCCTCAAAAAGAGGCAAACACCTTTTCTCACAATTTGAAAACTGCCTCTTTGAAAGTGATTCCTAGTTTTTTACCTTTACTCCAAAACTTTCTCCAAGTCTCTTACTGTATTTCTAATTGTTGAGTATCTCCACTTTATAATCTTATTACCACCTTAAAAATATGTCAAAGCTTCAAATATTTTCAGCCAAATCAGATTCCATCCTTGACTCTACTTACATTTATAGTACTTCCAGTTTCTAGCTCAAACCCATGGTATCATTTTCAACTTGTCTATCTCCTTTGTCATATATATTCTATTTTTTTGGTCCTATTTCCCCACCATTGCTTGAATTTGTCTTCCCCTTAATAACCAGTCACAACCCTGACTAGAATCATTATTACTTATTAGGCTACTGTCATGGCCTCCTGACCTTTTAGGCTCTTCTTTTCTGAACAACCTAAAAAACCTGCCACTACAATACACGTTATAATAGCAAAAGAATAGAAAACAACCCAAATGTCTATCCATATGTTTATGCAGGTATGTGATTGCATTGAAAATAAAGGATAAATGAAAAACCTAATAATTATATATATATGTGTATATATGTATGTACATGTATATATGTGTACACATCTATTATACTTATGTGTATTTATATAAAGACAGAGGGCATACACATGCACACACACTCTCAGGAAGGAACAGGGATAAATGCTAGACGTTTCTGCATATACCATGTATTACAGATTTGTTATATTTTTATATAATAATTTTTTAAATCTCAATTTTAAATATCAAGAGCTAAATTAAATGAATAATTTGAAGTGTGTCATAGGCTGGAGGCACAACTCACATAAAGAAGTTCAAACTGGTTGTACATATCTGGTAGAATACGTCCGGAGGACAAAAACAATTTTAAATTGTTTTCAGCAATCAGGGGCACCTGGGTGGCTCAGTTGGTTAAGCGTCCAGCTTTGGCTCAGGTCATGATCTTGCAGTTCGTGGGTTCAAGCCCTGCATGGAGCTCTGTGCTGACAGCTCAGAGCCTGGAGCCTGCTTCATATTCTGTGTCTCCCTCTTTCTCCGACCCTCCCCTGCTTGTGCTCTCTCAAAAATAAATAACATCAAAAAAATTTGTTTTCAGCAATCATTCTATTGATGGTAGTGATGGTATTGTTATTCTGAGACTACTATGCATGAGTTGTAGAAAAAAGTGAATAAGAAGTTATATTGCTATCAGTAGGAATCAGGATTTTGGTGTGAGAGGAAGGAGATACAAATGTAAGATTTAAGAGGTTGATTAAAAAAACTCTGTGGACCTGAATTTGAAATAAAATAATCAATAGGAACGAATAAACATATTATTTTACCTTAAATTAATGTACATATTTCTAAGGTATTTTTCTCTGAAAAGACCTTGAGGGATAAAAACCTCAGTATTAATAGGTACCCTTAGCATCCAGATTATAATTTCTAACCACTTTCTACAAAAAGGAAATAGAGCTCTTTAAGAGAGAAATGGCCATTTCCAAGTATGGGGCAACAAATGCACAAGATGAGGCAAGAACATTCTGTTCTAAGAGAAGCTCACAAAGACTATTGGGATCATGATCAGAAGACAAAGGCACAAACATGACAAGGTTCTCACATGAGACAAGGACACTGCTCATTACTTCTGTTCACATTGTACTAGGAAATTACAGCCAGTACAAAAAAGCAAGAAAAAGACATTTGAAGTTAAAGACTGGGACAGAAGAAATACATCTGTCATTATTCACATATGACACAACTGTGTATGAAGAAAATCCAAAAGCTCTAAACAATTAGAATTAATTTAGCAAGGGTACTGGATAGAAGGCCAACATAAAAAAAAAACAACAAAAAAACTAGTTTTATGTCTATATATCAGCAACAAATAGAAAATAAAATATACAAAATGATATTACTTAAAAGAGCATTAGAAATATCAATTAGAAGAAAACCACTGAGAGGTTTAGAATAGGCTTCTTTTTAAGAAATTCTTTTAAACACTTTTATTTATTTTTGAGAGACAGAGAGAGAGAGAGAGAGAGAGAGAGAGAGAGACACACGCAAAGCGTGAACGGGGGAGGGGCAGAGAGAGAGGGAGGCACAGCATCCGAAGCAGGCTCCAGGCTCTGAGCAGTCAGTACAGAGCCCAACGCGGGGCTCAAACCCATAAACCGTGAGATCATGACCTGAGCTGAAGTCGGATGCTCAACTGACTGAGCCTCCCAGGCACCCCTAGAATAGGCTTCTACTAACGCAAGAGAATAATATCAATATGAATTTTAAGGACTGAAACCCAAATATGTAAATTCATAATGATAATGAAAAAAATTCTCATTGGTGAACTTTAAAAAATGACAGGGAACCTGCTATTTGAAAAACATAAAGACAGAAATAATCCAGGCTTTTTTATCAAGTACACCACAGGTAATCAGACCATTTATAAGCAAACATTTAATAACATTCCAGCTAATGAGAGAATGTGATTATCAAACTCTGCAACCCCTAACAAAATAAGGCAATGATCACTGACTGCTAATATCACAAAAATAAAAGAACCCAGACATTGTGTCGTGTGATGAAGTACTACTTCATATGTACTACTTCGTAAGTACTACTTATGAAGTATTGTTGCTAAAACAAAAAAACAAACAAAACAAAACAAAACAAAAAAAACGAACCTCTATTTGAAAGCCTCTAGATTTAACCATTGATTTCAGGAAATAAATAAGACAGAGGAACACATTAAATAACATCATGGAGATGTAAGTAGCAAAAATGAGATTATGGCAAACTCCACTAAAAACAGTTTCTTCAAGGACTAAATTAAAAGAAAAAAAAGTGAGAGAAAATCTATAGATTGACATTTAACACACAAATTCCAATATAATGTAATTTTGATCTTGATTCCAACAATCTATATAACACTTAGGAGATATTTAGAGAACTACTACTAATTTTTAAGGTGTTGCTAAATGGATTGTGGTTATACACATATGTGTGTATTAAAGAGTTCTCATATTTCACAGATGTGCATGAAAGTATTTTCAGATGAGAGAGAGAAACCAAGAAACAGCCTCTTACTAGAGAACAAACTGATGGTTATGGGTGGGGGGAGAAGGGAGTGGTTAAATAGATGATAAGGATTAAGGAATGCACTTGCTGTGATGAGCGCCAGGTGATATATGGAAGTGATGAATTCACTATGTTGTACACCTGAAACTATATTACACTGTATGTTAACTGTAATTTAAAACTTAAAAAAAAAGAAATAATATGTCTGGTATTTGTTCTAACATAATCCAGCTTGGGGAAGTATATATGAAAGAAGATTGCTATGTTTTAATAATTATTGAAGCTGGGTGATGGGTAGATGGGAGTCACTTACTATTCTATTTTCGTATGTTTAGAAATTTCCATAGTAAGTGAACATAAAAATGTTGTGGATGGTGTCTTAATGTATGTCACTTCCCTACACAAAACCCTTCAAGGGTTCCCTTCTGTCTACCCAAATCAGAACATCTGCTAGACTCAGCCCTCAACTTTCCATCCAGTGTTCTATTCTCTAGGCGCAAACACTGTAACATTTCCCATCTAATCTTTGTTTTATTATTTCCAACTGGAATATATTCTCTCTTCCACTTCAGCCTTCTCACTTTTATCTATCCTTTAATGTTTATCTCAGATAACAGAACCTTAGAGCTATAAGAGGACTTAGATGCAACTAGTTTAGTAGTTTTTGAAGAATTTTTAAAATTGAAGTTTATAAGTTTGGATTTAGAAGTCTGATTTTCTTCAAGCAAAGTATCTTATATAATCATAACACAGAGTACATAAAAGAGGCAATAAGCATTGCTGCTTTTGATGTAGGGCAGTTTAGAGTCTTTTCGATCAAGCTTCTATCTCTGAACAAAGAATGACAATTACTGGTATCAACTGCAATCTTGAAAAGATATTTTTAGAATAGATAAAACAAATTTAAAAAAACCATTATCAACCTCATCAGAGATTATAAAGATCCAAGCTAGGAGGAACAGAGTGTGAGAACCAATAATGTTTAATTCATCTGTGACTGAAACTAAGAAATAGGTTGAACTATAGAACAAACTCACAATTTCACTAACGACAGATATCCTAACTCAGGTGGTAACTAAACTTTTCCTTTTGATCCAATCATATTATAAACAAATATAAATGTAAAGCTAAATAATCTTTGGTTGATTATCAGAAATCCCTACTTATCTAAATTACAAAGTATTAAATCACATTTGGATGGAATTACAGAACGCTGGAAAATGGGCACTCTTTAAAGTATTTATGATGATACTATTAATCAGAATAACTAACTTATGAAACTATTCTCTAACATGCTTAACATTTTTCTGCATGTATATGTGCAGTTTACATTCATAAACTTCTTTGATGTGAGGAATGATAGTTACTGATTTTTACTATTACACAAGCATGGTGATTAGCAAATATTAGGCACTCAAATGTTTGTTGAATTAATCAACAAATGAGCAAGGACTATTATTTGTATTCCTGTATTCTAATTTTTAATTGAAAAAGAAACAACAGGAGTGAAATACCAGGTCACAATGTTGAATATATTTGCTACATGGATAACTTTAAAACAAAAACTTAAAAGAAATAGAATTTTCTTTTAAACTATGAAAAGGGTAATGGCCTTATAATGCCTGTGAAAATAAATACAAAATGGCTACATAATTAATCAGGTAGTAATTTTTCCAAAATTAAAAAAAAAGTTAAGAACCCCAATGCTTTCATGTAAATTATTATTTTCAAGCAATCTCTGGACATTGCTTTTGCAAAGACTCTGGTTTTGAAAGCTGAAATCCACCAAAAATTTTTAAATATTTTTACTAGTCAAAGACACCAAAAAATAAAAGATTTTTAATATGACAATGGATTGCCTAAATCACATACTAAATTGCTCTATACAGGGAGATTTCACAATCCAGGAGCCATAGCCATGTTGCTGCAAGTAGGATTTCAACAGAGTTTTAGCTTCTTGATAGGATCCAGACATACACTATAGAAAGAAAAAAAAATTGAATTATAGGATATAGGCAGAATTTGGCTTATGAAAAGTAAGTAGCCCTAATCTTGTTTCTTTGACATTTTAAAAACTACTGAAAATGTTTTTGCATTCCTATTTTTCTCGTTATTTTTGAAACTAAACATTTTCCTTTCCAACACTCCTTAAAGACATCTTTTAAACATTTTTTATTAAAATAATCATACTCATTACAGAAAACTTGAAAAGTAGAGAAAATATTAAAAAGAAAATAAAAACCACCTGTATTCCCCAAACTATAGATAACCACCATTATTATTTTGGTTTATTTCCTTTAATTTTTTATAAATGAACATATTGATGAACTTTTAAAAAAGCTTTACTGAAGTATAATTTACATACCATAAATGGAGTCACTGCAAGTATACAGTTATGATGATTTTTTGTAAATTTATACAGGCATGCAACCATCTTATAGTCCAGTGGTAAAACAATCCCATCATCTGCGAAAAGTTCCACTGTGCTCATTTGCAGTCAATCTGTATTCCCAGCGCCAGCCAACCATGAATCTATCTAGTTTGTATTTAAAGTTTTGGTTTTTCTAGAAATTTCATAAAACTTAATTAACACAATATGAACTCTTTTGTGTCACGCTTCTTTCAGTTACCATGTTTTCAGATTAATTCATGTTGTTTCATGTATTTACAGTTGGTTCTGTTTTATTGCTGATTAGGATTCCATAATATGGGTTTATCATATTGTATATGCATTCACAAGCTGATAAACATTTGAATGTTTCCAGTTTTTGCCTATCATGAATAATGCTGCTGTAAACATTTATGTACAAGTCTTATGTGGGTGTAAGTTTTTGTTTCTCCTGGACAGATACTAGTGGAAGTGCTGGATCACATGGTTAACTGTAAGTTTACCTTTGCAAGAAACAGTCAAAATGTTTTCCAGTGTGACTGTACTATTTTACATTCTCATTGGCAGTGTAAGAGGTCTCCAGTTTCTCTGCAACAATACCTAGTATTTATTTTGTATTTTAGTGGATGTGCTACAGTATCAAACTGTGGTCTGATTTTGCATCTCCCTAATGACCAGTGAAGCTGAGCATCTTTTATCTGTGTACTAGGCTATATTCTTTGCTATATATGCACTGGGTGGCTCAGTCAGTTGGGCATCTGATTCTTGATTTCAGCTAGGTCATGATCCCAGGGTTGTGGGATCAAGCCCCATGTTGGGCTCTGCACTGGGCATGGAGCCTGCATAAGAGTCTCCCTCCTGGGGCGCTTGGGTGGCTCAGGTGGTTGAGCATCCACTTTTGGCTCAGGTCGCCATCTCACAGTTTAGGTTTGTGAGCTTGAGCCCAGCATTATGCTGCTGTCAGCATGAAGCCCCCTTCAGATCCTCTGTACCCCTTTCTTTCTGCCCCTCCCCTGCTTGCATGCAGTCTCTTTCAAAAATAATTTAAAAAAAAAAAAAAAAAAAAAAAAAAAAAACAAGAAAAAAAACGATCTCCCTTTCTCTCCCCCGTTCTGCCACTCTCCTCTGCTTGGTCTCTAAAAAATACCCCCCAAAATTAAAAAAAAACAAACAAAACTGGGTTGTTTGCCCTGTTAATACTAAGTTGTAAAGAGTTCATTGTGTATCACAGATCCAAGACCTTTCATCAGATGTATGATTTGCCAGTATTTTCTTTCACTGTATGGCTTGTATTTTCATTTTCTTAATGATGACTTTTGAAAAGCAAGTTTTTAATTCTGGAGCCCCAGAATTATGTCTTCTTTAATTACTCTCAGCAACATCATCATTCTCAGTGTACAGATCTTGCACTTACTTTTTAAATTCACTGCTAAGTTTATTTTGTATTATTTTAGATGAAACAGTTTTCCTAATTTTTTTCTAATTTTTTTTAACATTTATTTATTTTTGAGAGACCAAGAGAGACAGAGTGTGAGCAGGGGAGGGAGACACAGAATCCAAAGCAGGCGTTAGATGCTGAGCTGTCAGCACAGAGCCCAATGTGGGGCGCAAACTCATGAACCGTGAGATCATGACCTGAGCCAAAGTTGGACGGACGCTTAACCACGCAGGCGCCCCAACAGTTCTCCCAATTTTAATTTTAGAGTGTTCATTCCTAGTACAAAAATACATAGCTTATTTTTCTACACTGTCCTTATACTGTGTACTAAATTTACACATCATATAATTGTTTGTTTTGGTAGATTCCACAGGATATTTTACATACAAGATTATATCATTTACAAATAAGAACAGTTTTTCTTCTCCCTTCCAGTCTCGATGGGTTTTACTTCTTTTTCTTGACTTGCTGCACTTGCTAGACCTACAGAATAATGTGGAACAGAAATGATGACAGCAGACATTCTTGTTTTCTTCCATAATCTTGGGAAGGTAGGGAGAAAAGTATTCTTTCACCACTAAGCATGATGTCAATGGTAGGTTTTTAATTTGAGGAAGTTTACTTCTATTTCTTAGTGTTTCTATCATGAACATCAGCTGTTCATTTTGTCAAATACATATTGTACATCTTTTGAGGTAATTATGTGGGTTTTAAACATGAATCTATTACATCAAATAATTTTCTGATACTAAATCAACCTTGCATTCCTGGAATAAACCTCCTTTGTGATGGTGTATAATCCTTTTTATGGGTTGCTGGATTTAGTCTGCCAATATCTTAATTCTGCATTTATGTTCCTAAGAGATACTGGTTTGTAGTCTTCATTTTTTGTGATGTTTTTATCCAGTTTCAGTATCAGGGTTATAGTGACCTCATAAAAGGAGTTGGCGAGTGTTCTCTCCTCCATTTCATGAAAGAGTTTTTGTAGGATTTGTATTTTTCTTTCTTTTTTCTTTTTTTGCATATATGTTTGATAGAATTCACTCTCACTCTGCTATTCTTTAGGGAAAGATTTTTTTTTTTAGTTTTTATCTTAATTCCAATTAATATACAGTGTTATATTAGTTTCAGGTGTACGATATAGCAATTCAACAATTCCATACATCACCAAGTGCTCATGGAGACAGGTGCACTCCCTAATCCCCACCACCTATTTAACCATCCCTCACTCCAACCCCTTTGGTGACAATCAGTTTGTTCTCTATAAGAGTCTATTTCTTGGTTTGTCTCTCTTCTTAGGAAAACAATTTTAATAACTCAACTTCTTTAGTTCAATTTGGATATTCTCTTTAGTCAAGTTTTATAGTTTTTGTCTTTCTAGGAATGTGTTCATCTAATTTGTCTAATTTTTTGACAAAAGTTTGTTCATGATATTCCCTTACAATTATTTTAGCTCTTTGTGGTCTATAGTGATGACCTTTCTTTCATTACAAATTTTGATCACTTGTGTTCTCTCTTATTGGTTACTGTAAAGGATTATCAATGTCAATTTTTTTCAATGTACCAACATTTGATTTCAGAGTTTTTCTGTTTTTTTGTTTTCTATTTCTCTGATTTCCATACTATATTATTTCCTCCCTCCTACTTTTAATTTGCTCTTCTTCTAATTTCTCAAGGTGGAAGCTCAAATAACATTTTTTTTTTTTTTTACAATTCTCTTCCTTTCTAATGTAAGGGTTTAAACTATAAATTTCTAACCACTTCTTTGATTTATATTCCATACATTTTATTATGTTGTATTTTCATCCAGTTCAAGATATTTAACTTGCCTTATAATTTCTTTGACTCCTGGATTATACAGAAGTTGTTATAATTCTCAAATGTATAACTTCTAAGATTTCATTCCATTGTTGATCTCTAATTTAATTCCAAAGTGGTAAGAACATACTTTGCATGATTTTAATCCTTTTAAACTTATTGAGACTTGCTTTGTTGCCTATACTAGATAATGTCCCATGTGTACTTAAAAAGAACATATATTCTACCATTGTGTAGAGTGTTTTGTATAGGCCAGTTTGGTTGGCACTCTTATTTAAGCCTTCTACATAGTCTTATTTTTGTCTAGTTGTTCTATCAACTGCTAAAGCAGTAATATTAAAATCTCCTACTATAATTGTAGAATTATCTATTTCACCTTTCAATACTGTCAGCTTTTGCTTATATATTTTGGAGTTCTGTTGTTACTAACACATACAATTGTTATATAATTATAAATGCCATAGCTTTTATTTTTGAAGAATTATTTTGCTGTAATTCTATAGAATTCTTGGTTGCTAGGTTTTTCTTTCAGCACTTTTCACTGCATTTCACTGCATTCTGGTCTCCATTATTTCTTTTCTAACAGCTTTAAAATGTAATTCATGTATCATAAAACTCACTCTTTTAAAGTGTATGTTTCAATGACTTTCAGTACATTCACGAAGTTGTACAACCATTACCACAGATTCCAGAAATTTTTCATCACTCTAAAAAGGAATCCTATACCCATTAGTAGTCAATCCTTATTCTCTCCTCCCCACCCACTAATCCACTGTCTCTATGAATTTGACTATTTTCAGATAAATGGAATCATATTATCTGTGGCCTTTGTGTCTGGCTTCTTTCATTTAATACCATGTTTTCAAGATTGATCCATGTTGCTTATGGATGATTAAAGAGATATGCCACATTTTGTTTATCCATTCATCAGCTGATGAACATTTGGGTTGTTTCCACCTTTTGTACATTATGAACACTGCTGCTATGAACATTCATATACACGTTTTTCTGTGAATATATGTTTTCAATTCTCTTACGCATATATCTAGGTGGGGAATTCCTGGGCTACATGCTAACTCTGTATTTAACTTTTTGAGGAACTGTTAAATTATTTCCCAAAGGAGCTGCATTTTACATTCCTACCAGCAATGTGTGATGATTCCAATTTCTTCACATCCTTGCCAACACTTGCTAATTAGTGTCTTTTTTACTATAGATATATCCTAGTATATGTAAAGCAGCAAACCACCGTGGTTTTCATTTACATTTCCCTAATGATTAATGATGCTGAACATCTTTTCATATTCTTATTGGCCATTCGTTTATCTTCTTTATAGAAATGTCTATAAAAATTGGTCATTTTATAGAGGAGTCATCTATTATTGAGTCGCAAGGCTTCTTTGTATATTGTAGACACAAGTCCCTTATCAGGTATATAATTCACAAATATTTTCTGCTAGTATGTAGCTTGCCCTTTCATTTTCTTAATAATTCTTGAAATGCAAAAGTTGTTATTATAATAAAGTCTAAAATACAAATTTTTTCTCTTATGGATATTTTTGGTAGATCTAAGAAACCTTTCTCTAACTTAAGAATACACATATTTTCTTCTATGTTTTCTCCTAAGAGTTTTGTAGTTTTAACTCTTACATAGATCATCCATTTTGAGTTAATTTTTGTATATAGTGTGAGGTAGAGGTCCAAGTTCATTCTTTTCCATGTAGATTTCAAGTTGTCCCAAGACTATTTGCCAAAAAGACGATTTTTTTCCCACTGAATTATCTTGGTGCTCTTGTTAAAAATCAACTGACCATAAATGCCAGGATTTATTTCTCAACTATCAATTATATCCTATTGATCTATATGTTTATCCTTATGCCAGTATTACAGTGTCTTGATTACTGTGACTTTCTGGTAAGCTTTGAAATCAGGAAGTGTGAACTGTCAAACTCTATTCTTATTCAAGACTGTTCTGGTTATTTTAGGTTGGCCTCCATTGTTGCTAATGAGGAATCACCCTTTAGATGTACTGCTCTTTGGTTGGCAACTTTTTTCTTTTGCGGTTTTCAAGATTTTCTCTTTGTCTTCGTCTTAAGCAGTCTGAATATAACATGTCTAGATATGAATCTTTTTTAAAATTTTATTTTTAAAATTCCAATTACAGTGTTATATTAGTTTCAGGTGTGCAATATAGTGATTCAACAATTCTATACATTACTCAGTGTTCATCATTAGATAAATCTTAATCCCCTTACTTTTTCGACCCATCCCCACCCACCTTTTCTCTGGCAACCATTGGTTTGTTCTGTATATTTAAGAGTCTGTCTTTTTATTTTGTTCATTTGTCTTGTTTCATAAATTCCACATATGAGTGAAATCATATGATATTTGTCTTTCTCTGACTTATGGTTGGATTTAGAGGGCATGGATCTTTTAAAATAGTTTTTCCTTTCTTGGGAGTCTGCTGAGTTTTCTGGATCTGTTAAAGTTTTTCATCCAGTTTGGGGATTTTTTCAGTAATTATTTCTTCAAACATTTTTCCCAGCCCTTTTTATTTCTTTCCGAGATTCCTAATACACATATGTTGGTGAGCTTAATATTTTTCCACAGATCTCTGATGTTGTTTTTCATTCTTCCATTTGTTTTCATTCTGTCTTTCAAAAAAACTTTCTATTATCTTCAAAGTTTATTGATTTTTATCTGTCATCTCAAATGTACTGTTGAGCCCATCTAAATAATTTTTCATTTATTACATATTATTTCAATTCTGGAATTTTTATTTGTTGTTTTATCATTTCTATTTCTCCACTGAGATTGCCTATTTATTAATACACTTATATTTTCCATTAATTCTCCAAACATATTTATAATAGCTACTTTGAAGTTTGATATACTCAACATTTGCTAAACTCAACAAAATCAGTTTCTATGGACTGTTATTTTTTCCTGAGTATAGGTTTCACTTTTGTGTTTTTTTTACATATCCCAGAACTTTTGGCTTAAACTTAAACTTTTTAAATAATATATTGTAGCAAATCTGGATATAGTTTTAGTTTTTCTAAAGTTTTTTTTTAATTTACCTTGCTTAAATTGTGACATCTGTTTGCTCCATGGTGTGCAACTGCTGCTATCTCTCCCAAGTTTTTTTATTCTTATATTTGTGTTTTAGCCTGGCTTCTGAATGCTTACCCTCTATCTACATAACTTAATGATAACCAAATGATTTCAGTTGATACTGCTCAAACACCTTAAACCTACAAGGCATCTACATTCTTCTGATCAATTTGTGTGTGTGTGTGTGTGTGTGTGTGTGTGTGTGTGTGTGAGAGAGAGAGAGAGAGATTATGTCCACAGTTCCCCCCACCTTATCCATGGTTTTGCTTTCCCTGGTTTCAGTTACCCGTAGTTAACTGCGTTCCGGAAGCAGATGATCCTCCTTCTGAAGTATCAGGAGGTCAGTAGTAGCCTTCATGCTATGTCACAATGCCTACATCATTCACCTTACTTCATTTCATCACATAAGCATTTTATCATTTCACAAGAAAAAGAAAGGTGAGTACAGCACAATAAAATATTTTGAGAAAGAGACCACACAACCTTTATTACAGTATATTATAATTGTTCTATTTAATATTATTGTTGTTAATCTCTTAATTGTGCCTAATTTATAAAACACTTTATCACAGGTATGTATGTATAAGAAAACAACAGTATATATAGGGTTCAGTACTATCTGCCGTTTTAGGCATCCACTGGGGTTACTGGAAGTATCCCCCATGCATAAGGAGGGACTACTGAATTTAATGCCATAGCCAGTTCTCTTTTACACTTTCACTCTTTACTGGGTTCTCTGGGATCTTCCCTGCACAAGTGTAGTTTCTCATTCAGCCAAGGATATATGGAGAATTTATCTCAGCTCTTCTATGACTCTTTCATTTCCAAAGCCTACCTATTAAGTTACTAGTTGGTGCATCACTTGCCCCAACCAGGACTGCAATCTTGAGCCAGAAAAATTGTTGATTTTCCTCATCTGTTTGTTACTAGGTTTGTCACTTTTAGCTGAAAAAGCCTCAAATTTTCACCCCCTGCACCAAATCAAGTCCACTCTTAAGTAGCAAATCTACTACTTCCAGTGGCATCCTCCCTCTAGTAAAAACTACGGGTTTTGCCATTCAAGCTAGCAGAGGGGAGGGAAAAAGAAGAGGAACAGCTCTGGGTGAAGGCACCACAAACTCCTGTTATTCTTATCCAAAGTTCTAGCAGTTTTTCAAGAATATACACTTTCTGCTGTTTTTCTGTCTTCAATTCCCAGAGTTGTGAAAGGTGTTTTTTTGAGAATTTTGTCCCGTTTCATACTTTCTTTTATAAAAATGATCTGCAATTTCTTCTTGCCACCAAACCCAAAAATTGTGTAGATAAGACTTTATACTTAAAAATGTGTATACATACCCACAAATCTGTAGTTATTATAATTTGTTTCACAGGTGGGGATTTATAGTGTGAGCATTAAGATATTGGTGAAATTAAGGGACTTTCATACAATACTAGATTATTAACTGAATTAGGCCATCAGAAACAATCTGTATTTAATAACTTGATGTTATTAAACTTAATGTGATGGGTATGTCATATTATGATAACATGGTTCAGGTCAGACTATTCCGAATGAAAAAAGCAGATTCAAAAACATCCAGTATGAACTTAATATTTTAAAATTTATGTAAATATATATATATATATATACACACACACACACATATATATATATATATATATATGCATGACACAGGTGACAAAAACTGAAATAATGTGCTTATAACATGCAATAGCTCTTAATCTTATAAAAGATTAAGAACATTATAATTTGACAAGTAGGAATGATTACAAGTAGTATTTTTCCTTTGTATTTAAAAAAATTGGCAAATTCTCTATACGTTACATTTGTAATACTAAAAACAGAATATTTTTAAAGAGAGAAAAAGGCTCTGTGAATCACCAACCTAATCAGGTCCAAGTCACATGCTGAAATTAAAGCTATTTCAGAACTTTGAAATAGGAAAATTAATTTATATGGGTATTTTAATGTATTATTTTAAAATACGTAACCTCTAAAGTTAACACAGTTAACACCTACAGAAAAAAAATTCATTACCATTTTGTTTCTCTGGATATGAAAGCAGGTTTTGACTGGTATCATCAAAGTATGTACCTACCAACTAAGGTCACTACTTTAACTGGCAACACTCATTTACACATCCAATTTCTGGCATAGTCATTTAAAAATGAATTTTACCAGTACATGGCAATACTTTATAGTCAGGTACTATTCAACCAACTTCTGCTGTGTATCATCATCAAATTACATTTTTGTTGTCTTAAATTTGATTTCTATAATCATTTTCATTCCTTGAAGGACTTACCTTTGCTGCATGGTATGTACTAGCTTCAAGTAAATCTTCTTTTTTAGCTTCTTTGGCAAGCAGGTTAAATCGACTTAACATTGCAGCCTTACAAAGCCGACTTGCCATTGACACACCACTTTTAAATGGGGAACTAAAGTAGGAAGGAATGAAACATTCATCATTATTCAAGGATATATGTTGACACTGTAGAGAGTAAAATCAACACAGAATCTACAAATATTTTTCTCAGTTATGTACAATGCAATTTACATGAAAATTGTTCTGAATATTTAATTATTTTCTGAAGCTTATTTCTTTTATTAAATTGCAGTTTTAGTCACTATAGTGTTGCATTAAAAATTAAAGAAGATGGACATTGGAGCATTTTATTGTTTGAAGCAAAATTAATCTATTTTGATCCAAATTAAAACAACGGTTTTACCAGAATTGACTGGAAAAAAGCAGAGAAATATTTTCTGGAACTGATGAAAATGTCCTGCACTTTGGAGTGATGGTTACACAGGTATATACATATATCAAAAATCATGAAACTGTGCAGTGCATTTCACTGTATGTAAATTTAACTCACTAAAAAGTAAAATATCTACACCCCTTCTCATGACCTCCCATATTTGCATACATGCATGTAGATATATTTTTTGTTTCTAATAAAAGCGGGTCCACAGACTATGAAAGTTTTTGCTATTGTAACTCTCTCTTCGTTGTATCTGCTCACATTAGCTGTTCTTGTGATTACAAAAATTGCCCAAATCCTTTCTTCCTCCCTGTGTTCATGCTCTTTATAATGTGACTTTTCAAATTCTCCTCTCAATAACTGTGGTTAATTTCTCCTCCCCTTGAATTTGGTCTAGCTTTGTGACTTATTTTGAACAGAATAGATGATGTGTCAGTTCTGAGCCTGGGCCTCATAGGTTTGTGTTCTCATTCTCTAGGGAATCCTCTGCCAAATGAGCCAGCTGGGACTAATCTACAAGAGGTTGAGATAACATATGGACCAGATTCCCGTCAGCCCTCTAAGATCAGCCAAATTGACTTTCAATTGACCTAGAGCTAACTCCAGACGAATGAGGGAGTCTAACCAAATCCAGCTCAGGTGACCTAAAAACTTGTGAGCAGTAACAACTGGTTATTTTAAGTTTTGAGGTAGTTTTAACCACGTTTTGAGGTAGTTTATATACAGCAGTAGTTAACGTACCCTCTGGTGTATGAAATCTGTTGTGTGATATCTTTATTAATATTTTCACCAAGATAACCTTTTGTTGTAGTTTTTTCCAATGATTCTTCAGCTTTTCAGGTATAAATGATACCATATGCAAATAAAGGTAATTTTACCTCCTTCTTTTCAATATTTTATAGCCTCTCACTTCTTTCTCTTGTCCAAATGCTTTCAGTAAAAGATTAAATAGCAGTAACAGTAAACAATAATGTCTTGTTCTGGATGTTAGTGGAAATGCTTCTGAGATTTCCTCATCAATCATGATGATACTTCTAATAAAGACACATTTTATCTTTAACAAAAGTATCAAAATATTCCTTTTTTATTATCTTTATCTAGATAGTTGAATATCTGTATTATGTGCCTTCTTAGAATTTATAGAGAGGAACATTTGGGGTATTTCCCTAGATCAATTATTATGACAAATTATTTTAATAAGAATTTCTAATGTGGTATTATTTCTATTATGTTAGTACTATCCTCAAATTCCTAGAAAAAATACCAATTGGTATTGCTGTATAAAGTATATATATATTTTTTTAATATACTACTACATTCTGCTTCCTAATATTTTATACATAAATTTTGCTCATATAAAAAAGAAAGTTTAGCCTGTAACTTTTGTGAGGGGAGGGCATCAATCTTCTATCCTATTTAAGTACAGTGGTATACCTGCTTCATAAAAGGATTTTGAAGTTTTCTATCTTTAGATAGCACTGGAAATGTCTACTATTTAAGATTTAAAAAATTCCTCTGAACCACCGCAGAATGGTGCCTTCTTTGAGAACAGTTAGGGCATCTTCTTGATAACTTTTATTATGAAAACAGTGTTTAGATTTTTCCCTCTTCTGTACCAGTTATAGAAATAATTTTTTCCTAGAAATGTATGCATTTCACAAGATTTTCAAATATATTTACATGGTTGACCAAAGAAGTTTTTTAGGATTCTTTCAATCTTCTATTTTTGTTAATTACTCCCTTTTTGTTAAATGAGATTAATAAGTGACATTTACCAGAATCAGCTTTTTATGATTACTTACAACTTGTTTGTGCTCTAGCTCTTTAATTTACATTTCTTTTATTGATTTTTTTCATTCTGCTTGATTTCCATTATTTGTCGATATAAGCATTTAAAGTACTGATTTTCTATTCAGCTTTGCTTTACCTATATCCTACAAGTTCTTACATGAAATGCTTTCAATATCCTTGTATTCTAAATATTCTGAAGTTTCATTTTACATTTCCTCTTTGAGCCAAAAATTAAGAGTATTTTTCCCAATAAATTTCTAGTATCCTGATTTTAGTATTTATAGATTTACTATATTACAAATGCTATCTACACATTGCTTCTTTTAGAATTTGAAATTTTCTTTGTGGCCTAACATAGGATGAATTTTTTTCAATATTCTACAGGTTCTTGAGAAGTAGGTATATTTTACATTTTTATGGTGCAAAGTTTCATAAGTTAAGCAAATCTATCTTTTTGTTATTAAAAACCACTATATCCTTGCTTATTGTCTATTTGCTAATGAAAGAGGTCAATTATGGTCTCAACTAGTGGTGGATCTTAATTTTTCCTCCTTTTCTGTAACTTCTGCTATATGAACCTTGATACTATGTTATTTGTTGCATAGGTATCCATTAACTGTTTTTGTCTTCCTTGTAAATTATACCTTTCAATGATAAAGTATCCTTTGCCTTACGTAATGCTTTGAGGTTGAACTATACTTTGTCTAATATTTAGATCACATCTGCTCTCTCCATTTGTAATCACCTGGCAAGGATTTAGCTACAATAAAAGAATTAGGCTCATTTTATATTTATTGATTTTAGTCTTGTTGCATTATTTTCTGTTTTCAGTAAAAGATTTTTAAATGTCTTTTATCGAAGATTTGTTTTGTTTTTATGTGTATAGTTTGTTCATAATTAACAGTGATATTACTTTTTGATGATGCAAAGCAATAGTTTAATTTTTTTTTTTTTTTCAACGTTTATTCATTTTTGGGACAGAGAGAGACAGAGCATGAACGGGGGAGGGGCAGAGAGAGAGGGAGACACAGAATCGGAAACAGGCTCCAGGCTCCGAGCCATCAGCCCAGAGCCCGATGCGGGGCTTGAACTCCCGGACCGCGAGATCGTGACCTGGCTGAAGTCGGACGCTCAACCGACTGTGCCACCCAGGCGCCCCGCAAAGCAATAGTTTAATTCACATTAGCTGAAGTAATCAACAGAATGCTTGACTGAGTTCATACCAAGAAATATTTGTATGTGGTCTTGATTTAAATCCATCTTTCACAAAGAAAGCAAGATTAAGCATTTAAACTTTTAACATTATTCATTACTTCAGTATAAACCTATGGTCACACGAAAAGAAGGGTTTTAGCTTTGCTTGACAATCAGCGGCAGGGATGTTACAAAGAAATGTCTAAAGGCATAGTGTCTAAAGACAAGGGCTTTGGAAATAAAATGTCCAGATCAGAATCCCAGCTGTGTCACTTACTATTTGGATGACTTTAAACAAGGTATTTAACCTACTTGACAGTTTACCTGTAAAAGAGCAACAATACAACCTAATCTACAGGGTTATTACAAGAAGGTAGTATAACATAGTATGTTAGTTCTCACATTTAAGTGTAAGTAAGTAATAGGCGCGCCTGAGTGGCTCAGTCGGTTCAGCATCCGACTTCAGTTCAGGTCATGATCTTGTGGTTCGTGAATTCAAGCCCCGTGTAGGGCTCTATGTGGACAAGCTCAGAGCCTGGAGCCTAGTTTGGATTCTGTGTCTCCCTCTCTCTCTCTGCTCTCCCTGGCTCATGCTCTGTCTCTCTCGCTCTCAAAAATAAAAAGTAAAAAAATAAAAAATTAAGTGTAAGTAGGTAATACGTGAAAACACATATCAAATATACAGATTCTTGAGCCTTAGATCCAGAAATTCAGCTTCAGTAAGAGAAAATGAATTTTTAATACAAACACATTATATGATTTCAGTGCTAATTAAAATCATGAAATGAGGTGTGCCTGGGTGGCTCAGTTGGTTACACATCTGACTTCAGCTTAGATCATGATCTCACAATTCATGAGTTTGAGCCTTGGGTTGGGCTCTATGCTAACAGCTCAGAGCCTGGAGCCTGCTTCGGATTCTGTGTCTCCCTCTCTCTCTGCCACTCTCCCGCTCATGCTGTCTCTCAAAAATGAATAAATGTTTAAAAAAAATTTAAGTATTTAAAATCATGAAATGATACTTAGAAAAATATAGGTTCTGGAGACTGATTTTAAATGCTGGCTCCATTCAACTTACTATGTAACTTCAGTAAGTTATAGAACTTCTCCAGGTCTGTTTTCTCATCAGAAAAAAGAAATGTTTTTTTCTCCTTAAATTAGTATAGTCACACTCAATGATAACACACCATTATTGTTCATAATTTAAAATTTTTTACCTAAAAAAGTTACAATAATTTTAAAAACTGTATTAAAATGTATTATTTTGCTTATATGTGCTTTTGGGAGGGACTTTGTTTTTATTATAGCATAGACAGAGGGAGATTTACTGTGAAGCTTAACTTCTGGGCCCCTTACACTTGCACTTCTAAATACAGCTGATCCTTGAACAACACAGGTTTAAACTGTATGTACAGTTTTTCTTTTTATGTACAGATTTATGTACAGATGTTCTTTTCTAATAAATACAGTATTTTCTCTTACAATTTACTTTTTCTTTTTTTTCATTTTTATTTAAATTCCAGTTAGTTGACACAGTGTAATATTAGTTTTAGGTATACAATTTAGTGATTCATCACTTACATATAATACCCGGTACTCATCACAAGTGCCCTGCTTAATATGCGGTTTTAAAAAAAATTAGAAATGCTAACCTTTCAGTGATCTTTCCACTTAGGCCATCCACAATCTCCAAAGAAATGTCCCCCTGTGCCCAATTCAGACTCAGGGATTTATATTCCAAGTTTGTTTGAAGTGGATATGCAGAAGGTACTAAACTAACATGAGGTCTGTTGACCAAGTAAAACATTGGAAGTTTTGAAGTCAGTGCATCATCAACACGTTGCTTTATAGCAATTTCTAAACCTCTAGTATCGCTGCAATTCCCATTACCTAAAAAGTAAAAACAAAACACTCAGAAGAAGTTCAATATTAAAAGACTATACACCAAAAAAAAAAAAAAAAAAATGGAAAGAGTCTAAAGTCTATCTTTAATCTTGCTACTTTTCCTTTCCTACTTCTGTCTTAGCACCTGTTTCCATATTCTTTACCAGAATTAGGACAAGGTATCAAGGTCATGATTTCTATTCAAAAAAGAATCTACAGAAAATACAGAAAGTAAAAAAAATTGAAATTCCAGTGAAGAGCCAGAACTGACCCAGAAAAAAAAGAAAACAAAAAACAAGCAAGCAAGCAAAGAAAAAAATCCCAGTACTTTATACAGGTTTCTGCCAAAGACAATTGACTCGTCTTGATTTCTCAGATGACAGCATGAAACCAACACCTAATACATGAGATAAATGTGGCTGAGAAATAGTTGGTGAGAGTAAGTTACTTTTCTATATCTAAGGACCACAAATTACAATTATTCTAGTACTGTAATAGTTCAGTTTCACAACACAAAGTAATTTAAAGAATGGCCATTTCTGGTTAAAATTTTGACCAATATCAAAACTTTGGAGTTCTTGGTTAAAATAACTGTTGAAAGAGAGCTCAAAGAGATGCAATGTCATTAGTAAGGTATAAAATAATGGGCTGAAAACTTAAAACAGAAGTTAAACAAGTCATTCCTATTTAAAAATTAAGAATTCTAAAGTAGATCTCTTTTCTCCTTAGAGGGTCGGAGGTTCTCACAAGAGAAATTTTATAAACTACTAGATAATACTTCAGAAAAAAGTTGTTTCTGTATCACTGAAATTGTTGAAATGGATGGCTACTGGTCTTACACTCATTATGACTACTTGGAAACTAGAAAATGATGTAAAGAGAGCAGGAGTTGCTTTTGTTACCCTTTTTCTAAGCACTCCTTTGTGTGTGTGTGTGTGTGTGTGTGTGTGTGTGTGTGTGTGTGTGTTTCATTTTAATTCTGGTATAGTTAACATACAGTGTTAAATTAGTTACAGGTATTTAACATAGTGATTCAACAATTCTGTGTATTACTTGGCACTCATCAAGATGTGTACTCTTAAAATCCCCATCACCTATTTCACTCACACTCCCTCCAATGTACCTTCTCTATAGTTAGGAGTCTGTTTTCTGGTTTGTCTTTTTTCTTTTTTTCCTGCTTCTTTGTTTCTTAAATTCCACAGGAGTAAACTCATAATATTTGTCTTTCTAGGACTTATTTTGCTTAGCCTATACCCTCTAGATCTAACCCATGTTGCTGCAAATGGCAAGATTTCATTCTTTTTAATGACTGAATAATATTCCAATGTATGTATACACCATATCTTCTTTATTCATCTACTGATAGACAATGAGCACTCCTTTGAATATTACAAATTAAGAAATACTGACAAATGAAGTCTAGGATAAAGATATGCTGGGCACACCAAAAAAAGATGCTTGGACATAAAATACTGGTAAGAAGGAAGGTCTGTGGTCTGTGGAATAGTCACTGTATCTATAGTGGACAGAAGACATGGATTCAAAAGAAAATGTTATATATTACATACTGTGCTACAAACTAAATGTATTCCCACAAAATTAATATGCTGAAACCTAATTCCCAATGTGATGGTAGTTGGAGGTGGGCCTTTGTGAGGTGCCCTCATAAAAGAGGCTTTCACCCCTGCTACAGTATTAGGACACAGTAAGAAAACAGTCAACCATGAATCAGGAGACAGGCCCTCACCAGACAGTGAATCTGTCAGCACCATGATCCTAGAATTTCTAGCCTCCAGAAGTGTGAGAAATATATGTTTAGGTGCTTAAGACACCCAATCTGTGGTGGGTAGCCACAAACAGAGTAGTAGCCCAAACAGAATAAGACATACTGTAATAAGATAAGGATACTATTTGTGCCCAAGGTACCAAGACATATTTAGGAAAAAAAAAAAAAAAAAAAAAAAAAAAAAAAAAAAAAAAAAAAAAAGAACCCAACAACACTGCAACTCAAATTCCACGTAAGATTCCTTAAATACCAAATTGTTTCAACTAGATGTTTTAATAGGGTGGTATAAAAGCAATAATTTAATAGAAAACATCAAGGATATTGATACTAGAAATTTTACTTTTCCCCCTTATATATGTATGCTTTAACTATTAACTGAATCTAAGATGTGGTTTTGGTTCTATCTTGAAACTAAATCTTGTTCCTGGAAAAATACGGCTCTAAAATTATGTCATATAATAGGAAAAGTTTGATTTATTTAAAATCATCTAAAGTAACAACATAAAACTCGAAAGGTAAGTCAAAAAATAAATCTAATCAAAGATTGAAGCAGACCTGAAATGACAGCTTTTTTTAAAAAATTTTTATTTATTTTTGGAGGAGAGAGGGAAGATGGCGGCATAGGACGACGCTGGGCTCACCGCGCGTCCTGCTGATCACTTAGATTCCACCTACACCTGCCTAAATAACCCAGAAAACCGCCAGAGGATTAGCAGAACGGAGTCTCTGGAGCGAAGCGCACATGAGAGGCCCACGGAAGAGGGTAGGAAGGGCAGCGAGGCGGTGCACGCTCCATGGACTGGTGGGAGGGAGCCGGCGGAGGGGCGGCCTGCAGGCCAAGCAGAGCCCCCGAGTCTGGCTTGCAAAAGTGGAGGGGCCGGACGAGTGTGTTCCGACAGCAAGCGGGACTTAGCAATTGGGAGGTCATAAGTGAACAGCTCTGCTCAAAAAGCGGAAAGGCTGGAGGACAAAGGGAGGGAGAGTTGCTGAGCCCCCAGACGACAGACCTCAGTTTGTTGGGGAACAAAGGCGTTCACCAGCGCCAATCCCTCACCCATCCCCCAGCCAAAATCCCAAAGGGAACCAGTTCCTGCCAGGGAACTTGCTCGCTCTGCGCGAACACTCAACTCTGTGCTTCTGTGGAGCCAAAC